TGGCTTCACCTTTCCAGCCCCACCATCTAGTACATCTTTGGACACGAGCAGATTACCTAACTTCTCTCTGCTTCAGCTTCCTCATCTGTAAAATGGAGACAGTAAGAGTAACTCTTCATAGGGTGCTTGTGAGCACTGAAAAGTGTAGTGTAAGAAAGATCATCATGGCTGCACTTCCAAGCCTTGTCCTCCAATAAGGTTTTTGCCGGTTACTCTGTTTCTTAGTGAGTTCCAAGCTCAAGAGTGGAAGGAAGTAGTGTTACTTATGGGACTCTTAAAACCTCCCTTAAAGGGCTGCCATGTGGGATAGAAAAGAGCTAACAGTTTGGTTTTCTGGTTAGACTTTTTTCTTCTTGGAAGATGACATGTTAACTGATAAGAATATTCTGATTGGCTTGGTAGTTGTATTTCTTATTGCAAATTAATAGGTGGCTCTTTTGGTTTATCAAATCACAAAAGCAAAAATATGGCTCATATTTTATGGAATCAGTTTGAGGATCAAATAAATTTCCTTTAGTACTATGTCTCTTTCTGAACATAATACATAAACTTATTAAGTGTGAGCCTTTCTTCCAATGCCAGCTTTATAAATATGCTCTATCTTATATTTTAAAAATTTTCCCAGAATGGGAACATTTCTACTTAAATAGAAAAGCTAATAGCAAAAGACATTGTTCCAGGAGTTATTTTAATTATTAGGCACCTCTCAGTAGATATTTATGATTCTTGGACTACGGAATCAAATTTTGTCTTTCTAATAACTACTTGAGATTATGAAATCCAGTAGAAATAATTTATTATATTAATTAAGACACAATGTAGTGACATGTTTAATAGTAATAGGAATCAGTATTATTGAAGATGGAGTGGATAGATAAAATAATGCTTTTAATGACTAAAATTTATCTTGATTCACTTTCTAAAAATAACTCGATATATTTCATTTCTCTGATACTTTTATTACAATTCTCAATGAATATCATTTAGCTTAGGTAGGATAATTCATTAATTAAGTGTAAATTGTACACTGTCAAGGCAGGAAATAATAAAGTTAAGTGTCAGTTTGAACATATCTAAGAGTAAATGAAAAAAATTAATCTAACCAAGATGCCAACCATAAAAATAAATTATATGGGTTGAAGAAAAATGTGAATGTCGAATAAAAAAGAGGAATTGCATTCTAAATCTGGCCAGGTGGATGGGTAGAATTGAGTTCCAGGATGAAGAAAGATTTAAACTCATAACTATTACTAGACAACTTCAAGCCAACAACTTTCAATTTAGATCTTTTTCTTACCCTGAGCTGCAGCAATATGCCTCCGTTTCATGATGAATACTGTCAAGAATGACAATGAAAGATGAATTAAACCATCAGGATGCTCCTGCTGGAATGGAATGCCACCTATGTGAGGGAAAAGAAGACAAATTAAGTCTAAAATTAATGCACATCACCAGCATCCCCCAAATACTGACTTATAATCAGGCCAAAGTAAACCCTTTGTTACATATTCTTCAGTTTTCAACTGTCAGTAAGCATGGGGTTTTTCTAACAAAAAACAAATGTCTCTCCAAGAAGGCTATGGTAGTAATGGTGAATTGTTAAAAGATACATTCAGTCAAAGCAAAAAAAAAAAATCACACCGGGCTATTTTAATTTTTTTCATTTAATTTAGAATTATTTCAAAATTTATTCTAAAACTTTTGCAAAATTTCCCCTTAATTAATAAGGGGAAATTATATGCTTATTGTAGGAAAAATGTTTAAATGAAGAGAAATCAAAAGCAGAAAAGTAGCCTGTGAAATGCTTCCTACTTAAAGGAAAGCACTGTTATTCTACACTCTCCTCCACCTTTATCGTTTCCTTAACTGTGCCTATATTGAATATACATTCAAAATGTGTATTGTATTCTGTATTTAATATGTCTGTATATATATTGTCTTCTATGTTTTTATTCACTTAGTGTAACACAAGTATACTTGAGTGCTATAACACTCTTGATAAAGATAATTCTTAACAACTTTACAGTATTCTGACAATTATACACAATCCCAAAAGATATAAAAATTTTACTAACTTGATTCATATAAACAAATAGCTTTCTAAGGATTGTACCAATTTACTCCGTTATGACACCATCATATTTTGTGACAGGGCTCATTTCACTCTTCTAACATTAATCTGTTTCTGGACTGTTTGCTCCATTTCTTAGGTCTCTTAATCAATTCCTATCCCAGTACCACAGTTTAAATAACAAAGGTTTAGAGTACATTTTAATAAATGGGTCAGACAAATGTTCCTATAGAGGCCTCCTTTTTCACTAGTTCTAGAAAAAGTTTATTAGGCCTTCCCCCATATTAACACTGCAATTACTTCTAAAAGCCATAAAAATAATCTTGCAATTTTGATTGTGTCTTACTGTTTCAAACCCTTCAATGACTTACCTTTTGTCTAGGGCAGTGGTGCTCAACTACAGGTGATCTAGCCCCCTGGGGGAAATCTGGCAATATCTGGAGGCATTTTGTTTGTCACAACTGGGTTGGGGGCGGGTGGGGTGGGGGGTGTATGCTGCTACTGGCATCTAGTGGCTAAAGGCCAGGGATGCTGCTGAACATTCTTGATTACACTGCAGAGAATGACCTCCCCAGACAACAAAGAATTTTCTCCAGTGTTCCAAAATGTCAACAGTGTGGGGGTTGAGAAACCTTAGTATATGGGCTAAATTGAAAACCTCTTCATGTGGCACAACAGCCTCTTTCATCTAACTTAACAGTCTTCAAACTGAGGCACACACACTGACGGGCAGATTCCAGATCCTCAAACATATCTTCTAGCCAACATGCCCAAGTTCAAAGTAATACTTCTACATCAGAAGAAGAAGGAGGGGGAGGCGGAGGAGGGGTAGGAAGAGGGAGAGAAAGAGGAGGAGAAGGTGGAGGAGGAAGAAAACGGGGAGAGGACTATTTTTCAACCATCCCAAATCATACTATGTTGCAAAGCCCCTACAGTAAACGGAAGAAACAAACTAGGAAGCCTACTTCAGAGATTAACCAAGATAATCAAGGCAGCTGTCCACGTGGCTTCAGTCTTCTTCTTTTAGTCTTTTTTTTTTTTCCTATGGAATACAGTGTGTATTTAACAAAAGCTAGTCTTATCTTTATGCTTGTTTTGATTTTTTTCTAGATACGTCACAGGTTTATGATTCCATTTGAACTCGAAAACTGGTTTAGTTAAAAAAAAACACAAACCCAATCCACTGGGCATATTTTCATTGGATTACATTGATTTTTACGGATTAATTTAGGGAGTGCTGATGGCCATTTACTTGTCTTCTTTTATATCCCTTAGTAAAGTATCAGCTTTTTCCCCCCCATTCTTGTTAAGTTATTTGAATCAGATTTTTTCTCTCTTCATACCTTAAAATGGCTAGTGTCTGAACATGTGGTTGACCTGATGTAGACTCCCCTCCCTGTGACTCTTGATTACTCATATTTGTTTGCCCCGTGGGCTGGTTAGGTTTCACTCATCTTTGTAGTCCCAGGCCCTGGCAGGGCACCTTACACACTGCAGGTGGGCAACGCATGTCTACTGAACTAAGAGCTAGTTAAATAATAGAGGCATTTAAAAGCAGGGCTTCTGGGTTATAGTACCGAGTACTCCACATGGTGCCCTCTCCTTCCCCCTCTTTTTAAAACAAGTATTTGGATTATTTTATTATTATAGGGAAACAGATGTATAGATTAAGCAGTTACTGCCTTTGTTTATGTTTTCTCCTATACAACAATGATAAACGTTGCTTGAGCAGTTACATGCTTGGCATTGTGCTAAGAGCTTTACCCATATTTATCACATACAGTTCTTCCCAAAGCCTATGATGGAGGTATTATTACTTACTTTTTAAAAAACAGACTGTCGTTCTTAGAGCATTTTTAGGTTCACAGCAAATGGAGTGGAAATGGAGAGTTCCCATAAACCCTCTACCCCGACCACACACACACACACACACACACTCACACACACTACCCTACACACGAGAGCCTCCCCCACTATCACTGTCCCGCACCAGGGCAGTACATTTGTTACAACTGATGAACCTACGTTAACACGTCATTATACACATACATATACATACGTTAACATTTTCATTACTACCTTTGTGACTTTCAAGAACTACATAATGCGTCTTGTCTTTCTAGTTATAAAAGGCAAATAATATTTCTTTTCTGAGGGCAAAGAACAGGATCTACTCTTAGTTCCAGGAACTCTAATCCTGTTATGGGCAAGGCGTCCTGTGAGACTTTTCTAGAATTATCCCAGGAGGTGGATGGGAGGGTGCCCAGAGCAGCTGTACTTGAATACCAAGCAGGTGGGAGAGAACTGGGAATACCAGGCTCCCAAAGTACATTCTTGAAATTAAATAGAAGAGTTGATTCCCATCAAAAGAGAACAAACCAAAGACTGACCTTTTCTTCCCCCAAAAGAACAAAATGAAAGAAAAGAAAAGAAAGGAAAAGAAAAGAGAAAAGAAAAGAAAAGAAAACCATTAAAACACTGAAGCAATTAGTGCTTTATTGTGAAAACACTGGTGATCATGTTATTTTCAAAGATGGTACATTGACTAGAAATTGCATTTCTAGAAATATATCCTAAGGAATGAAGTAGATTTGGGTATAAACACATGCAAATAAGGCAAACATCTGTGGCATGCTTACAGTGTGCCAGCTCTCCTGCTATGTAGTTAATGAGGTTGATGACATAATCCTTATTTTATGAGGAAAACTGAGGCTCAGAGCAGGAACTTGCCCCAAGTCACCCCAAGTCATGAATTATGAAAGAAGAGTCTAGAGCAACCCAAAACCTATCTGATGACCTTGTCTGTGCCCAGTTTTTTCCAAAGATCAATCTTTTGGGTTCTACTTCTGTGTGTGTGTGTGTGTGTGTCTGTCTGTCTGTCTGTCTGTGTGTTTCAAAGTAGTTTTGTCCTAAGCTACAATTTCAGGGAAATCATGGTTTTGAGGTTAGTTTTATTTCCTCCAACCAGTTTGAACACATTCCATCTACAATCTTCTCAGAGGGGCCAGCTTTCTGTTTCATGTACAGTCATCAGTACCCTCTTGAAAGACTAACACAACAATGGCCTGAAGACAAGACTGTGAATTTATGTAGAGTCCAGGAGATTTCAGGGACTGTCATGGATGGAGGGACTAGTGACCAAAGGGACCCTTGACCTCAAATACTGTACTGATGGCACTGGATTCCTGGGCTTGTCCTATTCTTACACTTCTGGTATCCAAGAGCAGTGTGTCTTGTAACTTCCTCCTTATCAATTACTCATAGGAAACACCATTACACCAGTGAAAATTATTTTTTATGCCACTTATGCTAATTAATTCACCCTCTGGTGTAGATATCAATAATACTACTTTAAGTACCAAATAATTACTCTTCGACTATTTTTAAGAGCAGATTTTTTAGGGCATTTCAAGTACTATTTTACTGTCCCCAGGCTCTGGAGGGATAATTTGCATTATGCTCCCAAGTGCAAGTCTGCACACAGATAAACTCACACACACCCCGAGACGCTTACATTGATTCAATTTCAAGTAAATTATCATGTAGACCACAGGATAGCCTCAGAAAATAAGAACTACCAGGAATTTCATTCCTCTGTTACTAACAATAATAAAAAAATTATTTAAATGTTTACTAAAAATGGCTTGGTTTTCTAAAAAAATCCTGATACATTCTTGGATTTCTCAGTGGCGGGACTTTGATATTTTGGGCTGTAAACTCTTTGTTGTGGGAGATTGTCTTGCACTCTGTAGGGTGTTTGGCAGCACCCTAGCCTCTAACTCATAGATGCCAGTGGAACTTCATTTCTCCAGTTGCATCAATCAAAAATGACACTGCAAAATTTCCACTGGGGTAAACTTGCACTTGGTTGAGAACTACTGATTTATAAGATGGAACATTCTACTTTGAAACTATTAAAAATATGTTATAAAGAATTTTTTAAATATTTTTAATGAAAAAATCAAGATTAAACAAAAGGTAAGTATGACCTTGATTTATAAAATGTAAAAATGGATATATGCATTAAAACATAATTACAGCTAATCTTTTTTCATGTGCTTACACTGTACCAAACATTCAGCTTTCACATATTTTTTAATCTATTTAATTCTCAGAATAACCTTGTGAGGTTGGTACCATTATTAACCTCATTTGACAAACAAGGAAACTGAAGCACAGGTTAAGAAAAAATTACCATATGATATTGGCTGCTAGGCTTCAGAGTCAAGCTCCAAATTAGGGGACATTCAGTTCTACTTTCCTGTCCTCATTCCAACAACACACTCACCAAGAAGGTACTTCTCAATAACATCAAGCCAATACACGCAGTTTCCACATGCATATTGGGTCCTTGTCCAATATTCTCTTCATCCAATGCCTCTTTTCTTTGGAGTAACTCTATAAAAAACAAAAGTTAGGTATACAATTTTAACCAAAGGAGCTCTAAAATAGACAAACACAGATGGAAGGGCTAGACCCAACACCAGTCGTTTCATAATAATACATTTGAGCAACCTTAGAATCAGGGAGGTGTTCTCAGGTTGGTTTCTGCCTCTAAAACAAACCTTTGTCAGCAACCAGGAAAAGTATGTGAGGTCCACTTCATGAGAGGCTCAGATTGTCTTTGTCCATCACTTGTTCCCTTCTTTCCTATCCCCCAACCCCTTTCTGGCTGGATATGAGAAATCTGGAGCCACCTCGGTGCATGTGACGGGAAAGATAATTTGGGGACTGAGGAAGGAGAACTCAGCATATGCAAGGGTACTGAAATGCACATCCATCCTAAGCCTCCGTCTTCCTTTTACCAAAAGGAAAACAATAGCCTGCCTTATAGGGCTATCGAGCAATTAAATGGTATGTTACTCATGTCAAGAGTTTAGCACAATGCCTGACACACAGCAAACGTCCAATAAAGGACAGTGATACTGTCAAAAAAAGGAGCAGCAGCAGGAGAGAGGGTTTGACCCAGGATAAGCTAGATCATGGTGGTACCATTAAGAAAAACTGAAAACTCAGAAAGATGACTTGGCTGATTTAGAACGAGGCTAAAAAAGGCAGATGATAATAATGACCTGGCCTGTGAAATGGCTTAAGTAAGTTTTTACGGTTGCATGTTAAGTGTCTAACACTGCTCTGTTAGCCTGGGGAGAGGTTGCAGTGTCTTTCTGTAGACAGCAGGGGGCTCTAAGTTACTGGAAAGCAGCATGCAGGGCTCCTATTGCTCTCTGTATTTTGCTCAGTTCTTTCTTACTGCCTGCAAAAGCGAGCTAGCCTCGTCTAATGCCATGGTTAAAAAGTTGTATATTCCCAGAATCATAAAGGTACAATTTCCTCTGTTAGGTACTTGAAATCTATTGAATCCCACAGAGATGAAGGGCATCTCAGTCTTTAACATCCATCCATCCTTCCCACAGCATTTATGGCTAGACCCCAAGAAAAAGACAAGGTGTCTGCATCAGAAACTCACAAGCCAACTGAGAAAACAAAGGGGTAAGAGTCTAGCATGACAAGGAGTAAGACCTGGAGTTATGGATACAGCAGTGGGAACACACAATGGAAGGAAGTTCTATTCCTGCCTAGGGAATTTGGGGAAGACTCATCAGAATGGTTGGCAGGGTGAGAAGAATTTTCCATGCACAGAAACAGCACATGTGCAAAGGCATGGAGTTGTGGAAGTGTCTGAGAAACGTTCCAGGAGCAGCCAATGTAGTTTGTTCTACAAGTAACAAGGAAAAGAGAAGTCAAATCCAAGTGCGTAAAGAGCACGAGGCTGGAGATTTTTAATGTCCTTTCCCCTTCACTTTGCTGCTCTGCCTCTTGCCATAGAGCTATGGGTCATTAAGTTACTGATTCTGCAATTTCTAGACATGGTATTTCTACCAGTGTATTTTTTTAGTTACTAATTCTTTTCTTTCTCCTTCAAAGAATCATATCTCAGAAATCACTTTACTTCCTCTAATGCTGATTTCTTGTTTTTTAATTTAAGATTTTTCTTAATTTAAAAAACGAGGTCTTTGAGAAGTAGGTCTCTGTAGAGTCTTTACTCTAAAATAGCAAACGAGTAGCATCCACGGCAGGCACTATTCACTTTTCATCCCCTCGGTTCACACCCAGCACTTATCTGTCCCAACCACTGTGAGTGTACCTGTAGTTGAAGAAATTCATAATTCAACCAGGAAGCCAGGTGTCTGTGAAAACTTTACAGTCTAATCATTCGATTAATTTAAAGCAAGAGAGATGTTGTTATAGTTTTTGTTTGATTAATGGAGTAGTTTCAGGCATGTATCCTAATTTTTAGGATTAGTATTTTTTGAGAAAATTCTTTTATTTAGGGGTGGCTCACATACAGAAAGCTGTGTAGAACTTGATGAGTTTAGTGATAAACATATACTCTTGAGACCATCACCACAATCTGCACCATAAAAATAGCCATCATCTCCAGAAGTTTCCCTAAAACTAGAACTACCATTCAATCCAGCAATTCCACTTCGGGGTATTTATCTGAAGAAAACAAAAACATTAATTCAAAAAGATACACGTACCCCTTCATAAGGAGGGGAGAGGGAAACTCCTGGAGGTGATGGCTGTTTTTATGTCATCTGAAGACTTGATTAAGGGAGGGCTCTCATTCAAGCTCACGCATGGTTGCGCCAAATTCAGTTCCTCATTGGCCACAGGACTAAGGGCTAGCTGCTGTCCAGGGGCCTCCCTCTCTTCCTTGCTCCACGGCCTCTCCACCAGTCAGCCCAGGGCAGAGCAGCTGGCTTCTCTCAGAGCAAGCAAGCAAGACAGCAAGACAGACTGAGCAAGATCAAACTCATAGTCTCTTTGGAACCTCATCTCAGAAGTGACATCCCACTTCGGGCGCCATTTTAGAGGCTCCCTAATCCCCAAATACCAAACATGTTTCTGGCAACTACCAGCATTTCAATCGAGATCTGTGTCATCAGTCACAGAAAGAATGCATTTTGTAACATATTTCTCTGTTCAGGTGTTCTCTGAATATCCCGCTGCACTAAGTTCAGTCCAACACATGTGCAGATTGATTGGATAATATTTCAATTTTACTCAAAAGTTCAATCTTGAAAGAGGGGAATAATGTTGTCCAGCAGATACTGCTTGCTGGGTGCTTGCTGGGTACTTCCTGGGTACTTCCAGCTATTCTTTGAACAGAAATTGCCAAAGAAAACAGTTAACTCGGGGATCTTATGTTAAAATAGAAATATATTTATTGGAGTGAGTATTAAAGTTGCTATTTGGACAAATTTGACATTTATTCTCTTTCTCAAAACTCTTGGAATATCTCAGTACACAAAAGGCCCTGCAGAAATGTGCCATAAGTTTCTACTTTCTGCACTTCATTGGTATCATGTTTAGCTGAATCTTAAAAGAAGGTTGTAATTGAAATGTCTTCAAGATACAAAGCATGAAGATGAGATAAACAGTCAAAACTATATTAAATATATCCCCTGTATATCTGGTGTGGAAATGAAGCTGTGATGTTCTCAGACTGTAAACTGACAGTCTAAAATTATACAGTATCTTGCATATCTGCTTTTATATATTCTCTGTCAATAAAAAATAGTTACT